CTAGGATGTGAGCGATCACAGGTAATATAGATATGGGTCTATAATTTCCAACTTCTTTCTTATTACCATTTTTATAAAGCGGCCTTACTATTGATACTTTTAGCCCTTCTGGAATTTCACCCGTTGTCAAACAGCCGTTGATGATTTTAAGTAGCATTAGTTTTAACTTTGGATAGTTATACTTTAAATCCCGTACACGAATTTCATCTATCCCCGGTACCTTTGTAATTGACATTGAGTTGATAATATCGAACAATTCTTGTTCGTGTAGCTCTGCTAAGTGTGCCGAATTTAAGCAGCCGATCTGTTTAGCTGGATTTTTTCCCACATGCGGCAATATATTCTGCTTTAAGGCTTTTACAGTACTAACAAAACTGCTATTGAAGGACTGCGCCAGTTCCGTGTAGTTTTCTATACTGGGAAAATTATTTTTTATTGTATCGTCAATATTATTTTTTCTTTTTCTACCAATTAACTCATTTACGAGATCCCATGTTTTCCTTGAATTTCCTGCTGAAGCAAATTCGTTTAAGTAATGCTTCTTCTTCGACAATCGAATTCTAGCTGTTACTTTATTTCTGAGTGCACGAAATTCATTTTTAAGATTTTTATCACCGGGATTTTGCTTGCATCTTTGCCATAATTTCTCTTTTTGATGACATAGTTCTAAAATATCATCATTAATCCAAATATTTTCTGGTTTTCTTTTTTTTATCTTTTTAATCGTGGAAGAGGTTTTATAAATCTCTTTAAATCTATTTACGAGCAAATTGTAAGTGGTGATATGATCATACATTCCCAATGAATTCCAATCATACGCGCTAATGAGACGGTCTATCTTTTTATCATCTAAGACTGTTTTAAGCACTGTACGGTTGGACGTGTAATTGGCTGGGTTTTCCACTAATACCGCAAGAGCTATACAATAATGATCCGCGACTTTTTGTTTAATCACTGCAGGAACTAATGTCACATTTCCAAGTCTAGTTATTATATGATCAGTACATGACTTAGTTATTTTACAACCGTAATATTCTTCTCTCGTGTAATCTAGTATTACGTTCTCTAGACCAAAGGAAGAAAGAACATCTAAATAATTAGAAACTCCGCATTTTGTTTCGTCCGAAATATCAATATTGAAATCACCAGCTAGTAGAATATGATGGTTGTTATCAAAATGGCGAAATAGGACAGAAAATTCCTCACAGAACATGTTTATGTTTAAATGAGGCGGTCGATAAACCGCGCACACAATATATGAAGACGAAGATTTGTGAATCGAGACTGCGCAAACTTCTGCGTGGACCATGGATACGTTTATCCTATCTGAAAACCAATCATTTTTTACAAACATCAATAAACCACCTCTCCTTTTTTCTTCACGACACAGACAATATGAGTTGAAACCAGCCAACGTAAATTCCGAACACGCTTTTTCGTCCACGCTAATTTCGCTCAATATTAATACATCCAGCGATGCCAGTCTTCCAGATAATATAACTAAAAGTTCGTCCCAATGCCTGCGCAAGCTTCGGACATTTACATGCAGAAGGCTAAGCTCTACATTACTGCAGCTACTCTCCGTCTGCACTCGCGCCCTATAAAGGTCCCATTCGCGTATCGAGTCGAAAGTACTCTCCATTGCTACGTTAGTTTAGTTAAATCTCTTTCACTTTCGATACGGATGGCACCAGCGCCTTCTTTCTGCCGTACGAAAATCTTGCCATTTCTCATCCACACAAACTTGTACGCCTTTGCCCTTGCACATTCCCTAGTTTGCCAAAGTAGAACTTTCAGTGTTTTGGTTAAATTCTCGTTAATGTAAATATTTTCATTTCTTAGTGTCACTCGCTTCGTCATCCACAGGTCCCTCGTTTTTCTTTCCGCAAACCTGATAAGAACCGGTGGTATTTTCCCTTCCCTCGACCTAAGTCGGTGGGCAGCCTCCATGTCCTCTGTGTCTGGTTGCGGAAGGTCGAGTTTGGCAGCTAGGTCTTTCAGAACGTCTAATACATTCTCGTTGGGTTGCTGTACGATTCCATGGATCTCTAAGTTTTTTCGCCTGGAGTACTGTTCTGCGTTATCTACTGCTGTTTTCAGGTCTCGAATTTGAACATCCTGCTCCGCCACCCTTGCTTCTAGTTCGCCCGTCCTCTTTGTTAGTTCTGTTATTGTAACGCTTTGTGTGTCTAATCTTCGCAGAAGTTCATCATACTTTGCTGACAGGTTAGTGATGGCGGTGTCTATTGCGTCGACTGTTTTCCCGTGGTGATCTAACTTCGCCATTATAGTATCACCTTTACCAGTCTGAGTCTCCAACGCTTTTTCAATAAATTCTATTCTGCTCAAGACGTCCATGAGTCGCTTGCTAATGTCGTCATTTTGAGCTACTATCTTGTCCAGACTCCTCTCGCGAGTGCTCAGTGACGCAGGCTGTGTCGGCGACCCCCCATCTGGCGTCTGTTGGTCGTCAACCACGGTGGACTGACGGGCTGCATGAAGTGTGCATGTATTGCACTTCCATGCGGTACGCCTCTCTGGCGACAGAGCCATCAGAGCCTTTCTGGTCACACCTGAGCACTTTCCAGTATGATAGGCGTGCTGACACTCTGAACATGCCGCAACAATACCATCCAGCGGCAAAGACTTAAGACACGCGATGCATTCACTCTGCGCGGCCATGGCGGACAAAATAGCAGATAAAGGGGCAGACCAGCGAAATGCAATCTGTACACTCCCGCGGAATGCAGAAGGATGAATGCAAGCTTACCTAAAACCCAAAAAGGCACAGCTTAGTACTTGCTCAGTAGCATTTCGCTGGTCTGCGACGTGTTCCCTTGCGATCGGTGCTTAAGTAGGCGGCGAATCCAGAGATGCTCGATGCACCCGTCTGAAGATAACAACGGCGCCCGCACCGCAGTCCGCCGAAACTTGCACGGCCCTGCACTGCCGATGACGGGGCAGTGACGCAATGATGTTGCGTAGCTTCCTTGATTCTCGCGACTTGCGCTGAGACGAAGGCTGGCGGCGGTAGGCCGGTCAGCTGCGATGCTTGCTGCCGTGTTTCGCCGCCTAAAACCGAAAAAGGCACAGCTTAGTACTTGCTCAGTAGCATTTCGCTGGTCTGCGACGTGTTCCCTTGCGATCGGTGCTTAAGTAGGCGGCGAATCCAGAGATGCTCGATGCACCCGTCTGAAGATAACAACGGCGCCCGCACCGCAGTCCGCCGAAACTTGCACGGCCCTGCACTGCCGATGACGGGGCAGTGACGCAATGATGTTGCGTAGCTTCCTTGATTCTCGCGACTTGCGCTGAGACGAAGGCTGGCGGCGGTAGGCCGGTCAGCTGCGATGCCTGCTGCCGTGTTTCGCCGCCTAAAACCCAAAAAGGCACAGCTTAGTACTTGCTCAGTAGCATTTCGCTGGTCTGCCGAACGTAGACCGCAGCGGACGTTAAAAGCCATCGGAGAGAACCAAACGCCGAGACGGTGTCCTGTGACTTCACGCACCGCGCGTCGCTCCCCTCATTCGGAAGTTGTTCACGTGACCCGCTGTCATCTCATTGGCACCGTGGCCTGTACTGTCCGCTGTGATTTAAAACAGAGTCTAATAGTTATATAGCCCTTTTTGTTTGTCCTTTGCTACAAACTAGACCCGCACTCCTATGTGGTACAAAACTTGGAGGACGCTTAAGGTTTGCCTTTAAGAGTGGAACACAATTGCGTTATCTGTCCCCGTTTGCATCGCCTTGTTATTCGCTTCTCATGCTCTTCTTGCCAGTAAGCAGGAGGAAGTGCGGCGGACATGGCCTAGTTAATAGCGTGTCTGGCTTATAACCGAAGGGTCGTAAATTGGAACCCCGCCTAAAATATTTCAAATTTTTTCTTTAAAGGCTGATGTACTACACTTCGCGCTTTGCACTTTCCCCCGCCCCCTCCTCTCCTATATCCTCTCCACCTTTTTCCTTGACCCAACCTGCCTCCCCTCGCAGCTTAGGGGAGGGGATCGCTAAGAGGATTATCTCCCCTGCAGAAAACTAAGGTTCTACGTCGGCCTTTAAGGAAAGTGAATTACTTTATAAATTGATTTGAGACATTGCGAGTTTCTCCTTTTGGGTACCACGTAGGAATACAGTTGGTCTGTGGGTATGTAGAGCAACGTGTTTAATAACTCAAGGGCTAACAGGCTGTGCCCTCAATAAAGTTTGAAGTATCGGCGCTGTATCAATGTGACAATCACCGGTCGGACTCCGCAAAATCACGGAAAGGAGAAGAGCCGAATGGCGAATTCCAGAGGTCGTTTTAAAGAGCGCCTGGATCAGTAGACCAGATCCAAGATTGAGCACGCGATCCGAACGGAGTTGCTCCTACTCCATATCCCCAGTGGAACATGACCACACCTCCGGGATCGGCGGATGCCTTCCCGTCATTCACCTTCCCGGCAATCCCCATCCCGCGGTCCGGGGTCCTGAAGCACTTGTTTTCGAAGAATAATCATCGAATAATCAATACAGTGATTATTCGATGAAGCGTGTTTGCCGGAACCGACATACTTTTATTTGTGGCCAATTGCTAGTACGTGCGCAGTTTCGAAGGCGTGTCATGACATAAGATTGCGACCAGGTGCCCAGATTGAGAATGCCAGATGTTCGCCGACTATGCAGGCAAATCAGGTCATCGGAGCCCTCCCGTTTGCAGCAAGCTGAGGCTGCTGCCAATGCGTAAGAATGGCCTTTTTCTATATTTGAATGTTCAAGTCTTAGGTGGGAGTTATATTTCGTTTCAGCCTAAGTACAGACGTAGCCGACGCTATACGAGGACGGACCAATCGAGCGGCGTCAAAAGCACAAGTCACCCGGCGTTTTCTGTTTACGATTGGTTCAGGGATAATAAAACACCTTGCAGAAACATGACGAACACCACGATGGTGCACTTTTGACGCTGTTTGATGGGTCTTATCAGCCCGATGCGTCGGCTGAAATTCAAGTTGTTTATTTTGACGATGGATGTACAGATCTTCAAAGGGTCGTGCCCAATGTGGAGGCCAAAAAGAAAGAACGCCCGATTCAAATATAGTCTTAAAAATCGTTTTTTTTATCAACTATTTTTTACGTACTTCTCGCCTACTCCGCGCTACGAGTATTTCTAAAATTTGCTGATTAACTGTTTTCGATAACGCTCAGCGAGTTTCTCATTCAAACCGTGCGTCTATGTTTACTAACCAAGTCTGTCAGTATTTGCGAAACTAAATAATGACTTAATTATTCGGAACGCTATGTTCCTTATTAAGTTATCCCCTCGGCAGCGACAGATACTGCGCCAATCTGATTTTTCTGCGATCCGTAGTTTTTGCAGGAAACTTACGATCGATGTTCGCTTAAAGGGGTGCTCAAGTTCTTTTAAAAACGCCAAAAAGCCGTCCGTTGGCGCCACCTGGTGTCTGCTCCAAGGTGCAGAAAGAGGCGCGTTACGATATTTGATTAGATTCTTAATCCCGCCCTTAAGTGTAAATTTAAGATTTTTTTGTTTAGGATGTTTAGAGCCCGTGGAGAGTTATCACCATAAATATACGATGTCAGAACCCACTCGAGTGCCCCTTTCAATGGCCGATATATTACAAAAAGCTAAAGGCTGCTTAGCTAGTAGCGCACTTTGGCAACAGCTTCTAGATACCAGAGCCGTAGGGCCGAATTTATGACTTCACCTACCGAAGGCCAGCGCCGCATAAATTGGACCCGCGTATGAGGTCAGCTTTAGGTTGGGATTCCTGTCCAATCAGTGAGAACACGAGCCCCAGCCGAACGCTGACGTCACACTCGTGCCTAATCTGCATCCCCGCTAGCCCCTGGTGGGTGAAGTAGGAAGCCCAGGACTACGGTCATTGTTGACTGGTGTCAGTTTTATTCTGCTTGTCTCGTTTGGGATCGTCTGGACACCAACAGTCAGGCCAAGGCGGACAGCTTCCTCAACACCTGCGTGACTGTCGTTGCCATACTGATCGTGATCACTCTCATCGTGATGGTCGTCATCGTGCTCAAGTGCTTCAACGTCTCGGACGACGGTGAGGACTGACGCAACAGAGAAGTGTTGGTAGACGCTCACTTTGCTAAGTGTCCGATCAAATAACGAAATGAGGTGGTCGAGGCTGATTGGAAGAACCTGAAAAGGCATTTCCTGGAGGTTTCAGAAAAGCGGCCGACATTTCGCTAAGAAGTCTAGATATTCATTGACGTCACCGTTGGAATTGTATTTATAAGTGATGATTCGAATATGCTGAAGTTTGGATTTGGTGAAGTTTGGTTCAATCACTAGCATTTAGAGCTACTGCAGAGAAATCCGACGATGGTGCCGGGGACCGAGCCAAGGGACAGGGCTGTGGTAGTTTTGTGAGGAGGATATTCGCTCTAAAACAGACTTTAGGCCTAAAAAAAAGGGAAAAAAAAAAAGACCCTAAACTGGTATGAAAACAAGTAGTCCTATCAGTACGAGTCTGTCACCTCGGAAAGAGAATTAAAGAGACGTAAAATCGCGGCTGCCAGAAGCACTTTCTTTTTGAGTAGCCTTGTGTAGACGAGGCAATGTTCATAGTTGTGCCTACCTTACTAGTACACACACGGTTTACTTATTTTTCCGCAGGGTGCCCAAGACCGCCCACGTCCTTTCGGGACACCAACAACTCGCTGGCTTGCGAAAGTGATGAATGCAAGAATTACGGTAATTGTCTCCCTTTCTGTCTTTATCATCTAAATAAAAAAAAAAAAAAGAAGAAATATAAAAAAAGAAAAGTCCCTATAAGAGCTTGAGCAGAAAAAAGGCCAGATAGTCGGCATCTGCAGTGGCCCAGAAGAACCAATCGCCGAGAAAACCCATATATTTGATCTTACAAGCTCGAATGAAGGGTTCAAAAGAACAGATCGAACTGACACAAGATCGCCCATATGAACCCGGTCTAACACTCGAAAAGATCCTGCGCGTTTTACATTCTTGAAATTTGCTAGAGCAATACGTCAGAGCCGCTCTTGAAGGAAGGGAACAAATCAAGTCCTGAAAACATATCGACCCTGAAGAAACACCATCGGGCTGAGATGCTGACCCCTTGCACGAGCTGGATGCCAAAATATTTCTGGGTCCGCATCAGTTGCATACTCTTTCCCCATACTGCATGGCTCTCCTTGACAATGACAACAAGGGTTGGGGCTCGTTTTTTGTAAACAGGTCTAGGACTGTAAAGATAAGAGTACCGTAGGCAGCGAAAGGAGGATATAGACTATAGTTCATGTTGTTCTTTTTTCTTTGTTGTTTTCTTCCCTTGTCTCTGAGCTTTATAAGTACGACCTTTCACCAGCTATACCCGCGCCATTACCCTTATTTTCATAGTTAACGCGATGGAGGGCCACGCTGTGGCAACGATTGATTCAATAATTAGCCACTGAGACGCTTTAAGGATATAAAGACACTACATATGTTTATCATTATAATCGAGAGATTAAAAAAAATAATTGTTGCCCACTTTAATCGCGGTTAACGCTGATTAAACAATCGGAGCAGACATCATACGTAGGGAGCCTGATAAACCTCTCGTCAAATTACCAAGTACAAGAAAGAATGCTGGGAACGCAGGTTCACGTGCTGCATGTGCTCGCCTTATTAGAATAAAATATTCGAAGTAAATGATAAAAATAGCGTTGACGAACACGCGTGCAAAGCGTCATTTGTTTTTGCTTTGGAGATGCTGCAGACGGCAGCACGTGCAGCGCATTTGTTCCTTGGTTCTTTGCTAGTTGTCCAAAAGGCGTATTGATCTCCTGGTTGTCTCATCATGGTAGAGACATTATTTGTTGCATCGACTGTTCCTTGCACATGAGTAAATTGTTGCCGGTAAAATGGCAGTTAAACGCACTCGAGCAGACACGCACCAGGTGGCGCATTGTATGCAAAAACCCATAGAGTTATAATGTACGCTAGAGGTTCAACTGGCGCTAGTGTCTATGCGACTTCCGTGACGCAAATTGAAGCAGACAGCAACCGGTCTACTCTTGCGGTGCTCCTGTGCATTCCTATGGGAAAACGCGCGTGCATTTTGTCTCTTCGCCGGAAAGTAACACGGAACACTTTGGTTATTTGGATCGTACCGAATAACATGTACCTTGATTAACACTGTAAAAGTGTAATTGCTTTAGTTAGCGTATTTTTCTTCATCAGTGAACGATGTTTAACTTCGCTACATTTCAATCCCAAACATGTTTTCCGCAGCAGGTGTGTAAAAACAAGCAACGATTCAAAGCAAAATAACAATCAAAAGTAATATAGGGTGAGTTCAAGGCTCGCCAGCATCCCGGTGACGCTTATATATTCATGATATGCCAGTCCTGTCACTCTATGTAAATGATCCCGTCGTGCATGAGCGGATAAAAACATTCAAATAAAGAATAAAGTACGTGGGCTATGAAAGGTGTATCTTCGTATTGTTTTCTCTGCCGGGCAGCTGTTATCAGGCACTTGTTCTCAAAGACTTAGAGCATACGGCTGATGTTTTGAACGTAGAACGAACATCTTCGCTCAGAGCAGAAAGAATAAAGCGGTACTTACTTACTTAAAATCGCACTATATTACGTTGCCTTCAATTTATTTTGATCATACATACACGGGTAGTTACTAATCGAGTGTTACTGCGTAGTTCTTGCCGTCTCCCTTAAGTTCCAGCATGTCCTTCGTTCGTTTGACACGTATATCCCTCATGCTAAAAAGCGCCGACGTCGTGTTCGCGCTAACAGTGTCCGACAGTGCAAATAAATACACGTACAGAGCCGTTAAAGCACCGTTTTTAATGCGATGAATTTGAAAGTTAAACGCTGTAACTGACCAATTATTTCATCGGCCTGACTGAAAAACGTTCCAAGGTACCTAGTACATACGAATTATTCGGGATCTTTGCTTTTATGATCGAGCGCAGGGAGAAAATGCACTCACTCTTTCCCATAGAAATGCATTACCGGAAGTCAATTTTGGACTGGTTGCTGTCTGCTTCAATTTGCGTCAGAACACTAGCGCCAGTTGAACCTCCAGCGTACATTGTAATAACTCTACGCAAAAACCTAAATATCAGTAGTGTGCTAAAATGGCAAAGTTTTTATTCATCGCGTGCGAAGGTAAGTGCCATAATCGTAGCACAATGCCAACATTACGAGAAAAAGAAATAGGGTAGCTCATTTTGAAATTTCTTATTTTATGTTGCGTTGTTTCCACACCAGGGCTTCCTGTCCTAAATGTAACATACCGATGAATCTGTGTATCAGTAAACGTTTCTGTCGTAGTAACTAAATGTTGAACATAATTTATATTTCGCACTGTGTTTGCAGAATTCGTGTGCTCGCAAAATATGTTTTTCAAAATAAAATATATTTTTCTTCAATTTTGCATCAAAAAGGAGGTGGGAGTAGAGAAAAGAGGTGCGATTGCAGCTTGGCCAAAGCTCCAGTTCCCCTTACAGTTCACCGTAAGTAGAAGATAAGCAAAATAATTTAAAATTGCCAAAAAGTACCTGTCGCAGGTTTAATAATCTTAAAGACATCAACGAATTTGCAAACAGATGGTTACAACACTATACGTCAACTCAGAAGCGTTAATTTTTTCTTGGTGCATCCCTGTACATACTATAGTATTATATAGTTAGCCAGAGGCACCTCTTTTTAAAATATGTGATACAACAAGCTTCCGTTATACCTTCATCCCGAGAATTATGAACTTGGTCAAAGGTGAACACAGCACAGCTGCCTAAAGCTGCCTCATCGAATGGGATTTTTATATTACCGGAGACGGTTAATATTTTTAGGACAGTAGCTAATGGTGTGTCGTAGCGGGTTCAGATTGCGAGTACGATCCGTGAGTACCGAAACTTGAAAGTCTTTACATTTTTTTCCCGTTCCAGCGATGACGATGCGCGGAACGATAGTGAATTATCTGGAACCTTGCGAGGATTTTTTCGAGTTCGTTTGCGGCGGCTGGATGAAGATGGCCAAGGTGCCTTCCGACGAAGTTCTCAAGAGCGTCGTCACGGACATGCACCGGAGGGTAGAAGACGAAATTTCAGGTGACCCTCTTCCTTTTCTCGGTGCTTTTGTATTTTACTTTACGTCAGGGGAGGATTTATTGCATTGGATTAAGGTTGAAACACGTGTACAAATCATCCGAAAATCGGGCAAAAATCATGACCATGCGCGAAAACCGTTCCAAGCTATTTTGAATAACGGAACGTATTTATTGTGCAGAAAACACAGAGAGGCATCGTTAAAAACATGTTCGCTATTTCGCCTGGCGCAAACACCCTCGTGTAATTTGTTTTTCTTAAAAAAAAAAAAAAATGTTGTGGAACTATTTAAGGGTTAAAAGCTCTAAAAACGACGGACGAGTAGGAGAGACACACACAACAGAGCGCTCTGTGGTGTGTGTCTCCCCTACTCGTTCGTCGTTTTTAGCGCTTTTAACCCCTAAACATGTTCAACCAACTAGCCCAAATCCAAACTATTTTGTGGAACTAATATTTCAAGTTATGATTTTCGCGCGTTTTGCGGGTGCTTTTTCGCAAACGTGTTTCCCTCCCGTCTTTTACGACTTCGCACTCTAAGCACGGCAGGGTGTCATTCCTTGAATAGCACGAGCTAGTTTTTGTGATTAGCATAGATGCATTGCTATTTATAAGATAATTACAATGGTTTGCTAGAAAGTTGTGATTTGCCATGAAAAATATGCGAAGTTCAAAGCTTTATTTCAGTCTCATTGGGGCGAGACTTAGTTTGTAGTGCCTATTCACGACCATTTAAATGCCCAAAAAGCACAAACAGTATGAAAAAAAAAAAAAAAACTACAAAAAAAAGAAAAAAATAAAACTTCTTATTTTGCAGTTTAGAGGATTATGCCATCACCCAATAAAACAAACTCAAGGTCGAATATTAACGCGAGGACTCCGTAAAAATAAGCCAGCCCACGCTATTATTAAGCGGGAAAAGATTATATAAACTTTTCGCTTAAAAAGAAAATCGGCTTGTGGCCATTATTTTTTATAACAATCTCTGAGCACGTGTTGAGATGTTCATCAATTTTTTTGCGAGGCCAGTTGCAAAACAAAGAGCGTATACATGATAACCTTATATATATATCTCTTAATTTCGGTGGCTATGACGATATCCATCGCAAAATCGATTTGCGCCGTTTCTGTTGCTTCTAAAAAGTATTGACGTCAGTCGTTATGGATTAGTGTCAATCGACATTGATTTAATGATATTATCCAAGGGTACGTAATGCTATAATTGGTCACAGGATAAGAACCCAGCAGATGGTTCGTCTTGAGCGCGAGCGTTAGCCTTTGATAACACGTTTTTGCTCACGCAGCCAAGGCACGGCGGAAAACAGCGAGCGAGTACTTGAAGCTGCAGGTCCTTATCCCGCCCCAGACTATACATAATACTTTATGTTTTTTCTTCGACCCAAGTTTATATGCTTTTGTAAATACACCATAAGTATTTGGAGCTTTAGAGGTTCATATTAGAATCAGCAACCGACGAATAATGACGCTATGAGAATGTCCAAGCAACTTTAAACGAATGGTTGAAATATCAGAAAGTGAAACAAACGCAGCCTAAGAAGTCCTTAGATATGGACGCACAGGCGGGCTTTCGTTGTGTAATGTGTGCTGAAGATGAAGCTGCACCAAGTTCCAGGTCACTAGGTGTCTAGTTCACTGCCTACGTCCGGAATTTTTGCAGGCATCTGTTCGTTCGAAGTTAAATGAGTGTGTGAACATCTGAATACAACTTTTTGTAAAGTACCTGCGTAAAAGTGTGCACACGTAGCGAAAATCTTCTTGTCTCATCTGAAGCAACCTTTTAGATCGGTCAAGTGGATACCGTTTGAAGGATTATAGCTATTGTAGAAAAACATATTTTTTATATTATGAACTATAATACTTTTGACTCTTTACACTCCGTCAGTTCTGAAGTGAGCATTCTTCACGTCGTTTCTTTACAGAAATCTTGAACAACACCGTAATTTCATACCGAGGTCAGACGGCAGCTCAAAAATCATCTGCGCTTTACCAGGGCTGCATTAATATTGGCAAGTGTTTTCCATTTGCTGCTCACTACTAGGTTTCATAGGTGTTGAGCAGTAACTGCGCCTTTTTGTACATGAATGCGTCAGACTAGACTGTCTTTATAGATTATGATAACAGTTCACACAAATGTGTAAAACGCAGCAGCTCTTTATGCCTATTATGGGGTCTTTAACCACTGACACCCACACCAGTCAGGCTAGGTTATCTGGGGAGATATGACGTATTGATATGGTGACTGGAACGGGTCCCCGACTTGTGTGTTCTCAGCGTCCTAAAGAGTGGTCCCTCGATTTCCGCCTCATGACGTCATAGAAGACTCATGCCAGAGCCGCGTATATAGAGAGTTTGGTCAACGGGAGGAGCGGGCAGAGCCAGGACGTGCACCAGACGCAGATAGAGGGCTTGGCATGCTCTCTTGGCCAACCAGAAGCTGAAACGAATCCCTTAGTGGTGGTAGTGGTAAACAGTTTTAATAAGAGCATAAGGGTTAAGTGTAGTGACTTTTCAAGATTGAAAATATGGTGCTCGTGATGTTTCGATTTTGATCATGCAATAAGATGAAAAACACGAATGTGCCGCTCGAACTCTGTTTTGCTCGGACAAGGTGTGACCGCTCGGAAGGCAGATTCCCGGCCCTCGGTGCCTGGCGTGCGCATTATGTCGATCGTTCCACTAGTCGCGCTCTTCCACCATGATTTTGAATGACTGTGATTGAAACATCACGTGCACTATATTTTCAGTCACCGAGAGTTACTCTGACGCACTTATTAATTTTGTTTCTTGCGACCACCAGGGTATTATTTCCACCCTGGTACCGCCAGGGCGGTACCCTGGCGGTACCAGGGTACCGCCAGGGTATTATTTCCGACTTCTGGTTGGCCACATTCGAATTTCTGAAGACACTCGCCCAGCACGCTTTCGGCCAATGGCGTCTCCTCATTTGCCTCCTATTCTTCTCAATTGATGGCCAAACTCTTTCGATATACGGCTCTGTGTCATGCTGTCGCCGGCCACGATCCTGGCGGTGTGCGAGCAGTGGTGGTTGACGTTGCAGACGACTGTTCTGCGGCAGGTCGCTCTTCAGCTTGACAGTTCGCGGAAGCTTCAGCAGCCATGTGTTGAGACTTCTCGACAACAGGGACGCTTAAGTTCCCTCGTACTTATTGCCGGGACTTCTAGCACCAACCGCCAAGATCGCGACACACGACAAGACGACACTCCCGCTTCTGGGACGCCATTTGTTGCCACCTCGGTACCCCTTTTAATACATGGGTGGGATAGGACGTTAAACACGGGAGTCGAAGACCCGTTCCAGGTACCGTACTACCGTGAAAAGTAACGCTATAAAAATTCCGAGGACACCAAAGCACTTCTTATGAGTTGTGAATACGAAAGCATGAACGTCGTTCTTCCGCTTCCTTAGTTCGTCTGCGGTGTACTGGCGTGGACGGCCACGTTTCGGCGGCCGAGCGCGCGCTCTCGTGAATGGCTATCTAGGAGCCGTTTTGATCAGCCAATGGGAGAATGGGCATTTCTTTCACATTTTTTTTTTGCGGGTACAGTCGCCGCCGGCTCAGCTCTATGGGATGATTAATGCTTTCGCATTAACCCACACAGACCTGCGCAACAGTAAGGGCACCAAGCCCCTGGAAGACCTGCTGGCCCGCTACGACATGCCGCACTGGCCCGTGGTGAACAGGACGGCGAACTTCCGGGTCTTCTACCTACTCGGCAACGCCATCCGGGACTTGGGCATTGACGCGCTCATATCGGTCAAGGTGGACCTGGATTACCACAACAGCGAACGTTACATCCTCTACGTGAGACCGATGTCTCTCCTGTGCATAATATTCACCATAAAAAACAAAAAAAAAACAAAAAAAAAAACATGCGAATTATATCTTTTAAGCCGCGGCCATACTGCAAACACATAATACAAAAGACAGTCTAGAGATACTAGAGAGTTTTAGAAAACCGTTTTTGTACATCCCATAGGTACAGTGGGTGGGCCCTCCGGCACGAACTGCACATATGAGAGTTTAAACTGTAGCGCATGCGCAGTTCGAAACGGAGGGCCCATCATGCCGTATCGGATGTGCAAAAACGGTTCCCTGAGACTCTCTACTGTCTCAGGTGTGTTTCTTCCATGTACGACGGCGCGGTCACTTTTGTCCGTTCCTGCAGTAAACAACCTTTCCGATGCCTTTGCGGTTTTCCAGATCGGACAGCCGACCTTCGGAGTCGAGCCCTTAATCCTGCGGGGCAGGTTCAGGAGCCCGTTCTTTCGTATCCTTCACCGCTACAAGCTGTACGTCTATCGATGCGCATGTTTACTCGGGGCAAACGTGGCAGCCACAGACATCGTTAACGAGATTGTGTCCTTCGAAGCACAGCTAGCCTCTGTGAGTACACGTCTACGACTTTATGCTGTTGAGAGTTGTCGGAACTGTAGAGACACCGAATGTATGGTGCCTGGAAATCGCCTCCGACTGGTGCGTTTACACTGTCCTCATATGTGGTACTCCCTCGATTTCTGCCAAATGACGTCACAGAAGTGTCCCGCTGTTGCCTGCCGCGATCATGACGGTGGCACAGCAGCGTTGGGAGCTGCAGCAGACGCCTCTTGCGCTGCAGGTCGTTCTCCAGGGGCCCCCATCTACACGGCGGGCCCAAGCGGGACCAATCAAGGGACCCGGACATCGGCGCCTGCTGCGATTGGCCAGCGGTAAGGAGCTGGCCAATCGCGGCAGGCGGCGATGCCCCGGTCTCTTGGTAGTCCCAATTCGCCCCGCCTCGTCCCGCCGTGTAGATTAGGCCTTCAGCCAGACAATCCCATGGCTACGGCAGCCAGGAGTTGGAACGTATAGACCCTAGATTAAAGAGAGGGAGCAACTAAAACCATAGAGCGTGTTTGAAATTCAATACCAGACGCTTTCTGCGCTGATTGGCTGCAAGTGCGCATGCGTTGCTTTCTCGTCTGGCGAGAGAAAAGCGAGCGGAGAGGCAGAGTGGCAGAGGTGCTTGCACACGATCAAAGCCTTCGTCACCTCCTCGAAGCTCGTATAGGCCTCCTGCGTTGCACAGGGAACGCTGCGAAAACGTACTCGTCGGGACTTCTTTTGGGTAGTACCACAGCCTCCTCTTTATTCACGAAGCCTGACAGTTCGACGACGGAGCCATAGAGTGCCGGATCGCACATTTAGAGCGTGAGGATCTGGTAGCACAGAGCATCAAAGAGCAATTTGTCGGGGAACCTGGGCGTCAGCGCACAGCTTCCTCGGCGGCGAGGACGCACACTTGTTCGCTTAGGAGAAGTGTGTTTAGGCGTCTCGCCGCAGCGGGGTGCCAGCCACGTGGCTCTCCTCTCATCCGTTGTCTGACGCTCCACCCTTTCCGTTTCGGCGGCCGCCTCTCGTGGCGATCTGCAAGGTTTTGTCAGTATATAGGAGGCTTTGGTATAGTACAAACTTGAGCGTCTCATTGTGCTACACATGTAGAAGCTTGCCTGCTCAGGTGTGGAACGCGAAATTACAAGAAAAAAAAATCGAACGCCGTTGAAGCACAGGTCATATCCAAAAGCGTGAGCCAATAAACGCTGTTTCACGTGTTAAAAAGTGAAAGCCGTTTACAAATCCCTGTAACGCCGAATTGGAGCGCAGCTCTTGAGGAGGAGGAGTGAAGGGTACTGAGGGGAGGGTAGACCCCTCCCCCTTCTCCTCCTCCCCTCATTCTTTAATATGCTCCGGGGGGGGGGGGTGTCACGTGACTTCGGGGAGGGGGTCACGTGACCTCGGGGAGGCGTGACCTGGGGGTGACCTCAAGGCCACGTGACCCCAAAGGTGACCCCCACGTGACCTTGGGGGTCACGTGACCTGGAGGGGTCACGTGACCTCGGGGGGTCACGTGACCTCAGAGGGGTCACGTGACCTGGGGGTCACGTGGGGTCACGTGACCTTGAGATGACCTTGGAAGGGGTCACGTGACCTTGGGGGTCACGTGACCTTGGGGAGGCGACCACGTGACCTCGGGGGTCACGTGACCTCAGAGGGGTCACGTGACTTGGGGGTCACGTGACCTTCAAAGGGTCACGTGGGGTCATCTTGGGGTCACGTGACCTTGGAAGGGGTCACGTGACCTCGAGGGGTCACGTGACCTTCAGGGGGTCACGTGGGGTCACGTGACCTTGAGATGACCTTGGGAGGGGTCACGTGACCTTGGGGGTCGCGTGACCTTGGGATGACCTTGGTTACGCCGACGGCGACGGCGACGCCAACGGCGACGCCGACGGCGACGCCGCTCAAGCCGGGAACGGGCCCCTAAGAGCTGCGCTCTAAAAAAAAAGAGAAAGAAAAGGATGCTGAAAATAATCCATGGAGAAGGGGAACAAGAGGGACAAAGGACAAACATAAATCTCCAATCACAGCTAGGTGACTGATGAGCGACCGAAAATATCCGCCTGGTCCGGGTATCGAACCCGGGACCTCTCCATTACAGGTGGAGCGCTCTACCAACTGAGCTAACCAGGGGTTAGACGTCGGCAGAGAAAACGGGTTTTATCAGTTGCCACCGGTCTAACACCAACAAAGGTGAAGCTTGCAAGTTAAGGTTGTAATTATAATGCAATTAAATGCAAAGGTGCAAGCGAGCTGGACAAGAGTGATGAGAATAATCCATGGAGAAGGGGAAGAAGAGGGACAAAGGACAAACATAAATCTCCAAACACAGCTAGGTGACTGATGAGCGACCGAAAAAATCCGCCTGACGCATCCATAAAGGGCGTCAGGGCGTTATATGTTTTGACGCCATTACGCAGCAATAAGAGACGCGTACCCTAGCGGTGGTGGCATATGAATCTGGAACTTTCGATGATCTTGCGGCTTTGAATCTAGCCGATTTCGGACGTCGAAAGGTGTTTTTTTCGTTCTTCAGTAATACAAAGAAAAATAAAAGCTCAGCGAAGGTGCCATAAGTAGTGCGAGGCCCAGTTAGGTGGGCTTGTGCTACCTAAAATGAGGGCGCCACAGTTTGTTTAGAGCTTCAGCGCAGGAGGCCAATTGCAAACGCGGCCCATAAACCACGTGACCCCAATCGAGCAGCCTGGAAACGGACTGTAATACAATCACACTATTGGAACGCCGCGACGACAGCGACACTCGCTTTCGCTTGTACCTTTCTGGCGGAACTTATTCGACCAACCGCCAGGATCGCAACATCCGAAAGCACGACACACCTGCTTTCTTGACGCCATTTGTTGCTCGCGCTGCGGCGCTGAAATTGGCGCCGCTATACGATGCCGGCCGTATATGCAATCGAATTGAGCCGGAGTGTGAAAACCTAGTAAAGCTTACTTGCGAGCGGGCCGTAGATAAAAAAAGAACCTGCGCGTAACTTTGCTACTGATCGTAATTCACCAGCTGTTTAGAGACGATGTTGCCTGGGACGCTGTTTACCAACAAGCAGTCTTGTACACGTTACTAAAAAAAAGTAATCGATTACAATTATTATTACTCTTTGCTAAAAAGTATTCGATTAGATTACTTGATTACTCGACGGCAAAAGTAATTGGACATTACTTAAAGAAGTAATTGTTACTTTTCCGATTACTTTATTGTGTGAAGACACATCTTTAGCGCTCATAACAATGAGCAACTTCCAACCTATATTTCACATTTGCGCAAGTATTGAAGTATAAAAACTGGCTCCTTCTTCGTGGTCGTTGCACCTTCACAATCCGGACACAAGCATAGAATTCGCTTGAAGACGTTTAATGATTTGGGCGTTCGCCAGTGTGTGTGTGTGTGGGGGGGGGGGGGGGGGGGGGGAGGGGGCGGGGGAGGCAGAGGAGGTTCTAGATGTTGTTAAGCTTGAGCAAGGGTTGTCGCTCAAAAATTGCGTCGCTCATTTTATTATTCACATGAGGATGAGCTCACATGTTATTCAAAAGAGCAGCAGCTCCAGGATTTGAAACGGATCATGTGTAGTATCCATTAGCGGAAGAGATCGCCCCGACCACTTCTCAACTCGAAACATTGCTTGTTACAAAGACCACGTAGGGGAATTGGGAAAACATTTCAACTACCTTTGTTATATTTTGCATCCGCTTTAGGCACTCTTCGGTTCTGGTTCTCCTACGGGCTGCGAGTAGGCACTCTCAGCAGGATTTTTTTTATTTTTTTTTATTTCTGTGTGTGTGCGAAGGACCCTCAAAGCTACAATCTGCTTCCTCAAACTTCGCCCTGAATGGCCTTTGTCATGCACTGTGGCTTCCCTGGAGCTTCCCTGGAGCTTCCCTGTCCCAGCTCGAAAAACAAAACAAAAAAACGGACATTCCACAGAAACAGCACATAGAAAGAGGTTGACCTCGTTTCCTAAAGCTCCGCAAAAATCTTTATTTCTTTCCGTTCGAAAAAAAAAAAGCAAATTTTATTTTTGTCATTTTATAAAAAAAGCGGGTGCCCGGGGGGGGGGGGGGGGGGGGGGGCGCGTGGAAAAATAGTAACGGTTACAAGTAATTTTATTACTTCAAAAAGTAATCAAATTACTCTTGTGATTACTGCCTAATAAAAGTAATCAACTGATTACAAAATTACTCCAAAAAGTAATCGATTACAAGTAATTTGGTTACTTGTAATGCGTACGGTACAAGTCTGCCAACAAGTCCCGTTTGTCCACGCCAGGTAGGGACGCTGGACGTGCGCAGAAAGCAGATTTGCATCAAGTGAAGGCTTTGCGCATGCGCCGTGCAGACAACAGCGCCACTGCAACGGCGTGACGTCAGGGTCGTGCGTTGCTGTATATTTTTGCGTCCCTTTTTTATGTTTGTTTCTCACGGGCGTCAATCATGAGTGACGTCAGCCAATCTGAATGGGCTCGGTTTGCTCGTTTTTCCGGTTCAAAGTGACGCTGTGGTAAGCATTGCTTTGGTAATAATAATAATAATAAATTCTTTTATTTCCATTCATTGATAGCGGAGACCGAGGGAAAAAGCTACCCACAGGCAGCTTGACGAGCCCTTGCAGTGCCAGCAATGTAAAATAATAAAAAACATCTCAAAGAAATCATATTACGAAATTAAAAGATCGCCAGATTTCTAAAACATGAACTTAGTTCCTTTACGTAGTAAACAATGTCAAAAACAGAACGAAAACACTCCAAAGAGAGCTTTGTCACAGAATATAAATATGTAAAGAGTTTTCGAAAACATGTATCACAGAGAAATTTCGACCGCAAACATGCTTCATCAAGCACCAAAAAAGCAAGTCAACAAAAATATTCACCTCCTTGAAATACACAAAATCTCTTTTTATGTTGAAATATGTAAACACCATCTTAGCAAGCAGAACCTTATAGAACTACAAGCACATTGACCTTAGGTTGTATAATGTAGTATTAATGAAATCAATTTTGTTCTCAGTAGGTACGTTTAGATTTTTGAGAAGCAAAACTTTGAACGATCATACTGAGAATGATCATACTATAGTCGGTAGTTGTCCGCTTCAAGCGAGGTTAAGAAACAATAATGGCTGGATGTCTCACCAGACGAACATTCAACAAACACTTCGTCGAAATATTCGGGATACACCCAGTTAATACGATTTTTATTTTGTGACATTTAAGGATGACATGCTATATTTTTCTGGGAGGTTTTAATACTGAGTGCTGGGCTTGTTCCCTTCTTCAGATTGCGGAACCTCCGAATGTCATGCGGAATCCAAGAAGTATGTACAACCTGATGTCTTTGAAGATGCTGGAAAGTGCCATACCCGAGGTCTCTTCTTTTTTTATGTGTTTGAGATCTTACAACCTTTTGGTGTATTTGAATATACATTTGTGGAAGTTTCAATTTGGTTTCTTTAGTGTCAAGGATTCACTGTGGGTCAAGTAAATTTAGTTGTAGGATTATGAGTCAGTTGACTATGGAAAGTGCACGCATAAACGCTTGTTGAACATATTGCAACCCTCTTGAACAGTATGACAGAATCAAGAGTGGAAGCTCATATAAACAATGATCATACCATTGTAGGACTGAATCAGCTGTACTATCATTAACAATAGATAATAAGCCAATAATTAGTCTTATTGAAACTTGCCTGCTACTTATTAATCTGAACAGAAAGAACCCATATGTACAAGAAAATGAAATCAGATAATCTGTGAAAACAGCTTCGGAGACGATTCCCATTGTCTTTGTGTAAAGGCCGACGTACAACCTCGTTTTTCTGCAGGGAAGATAATGCTCCCCTTTTCTAAGCTGCGAGGGGAGCCAAGCTGGGGCAAGGTAAAGGCTGGAGTAGATATAGGAAAGGGGGAGGCGGGTAGTGGTGCAGAACTATCGACACTAGTGTCACAGAAGTATCGATAGTCGAATATCTATACTAATATCGATAGTTTTAGAGCGCAGCTCTTAGGTCTTATTCACACAGCCGGCGTTTCTCCCATCCCGGCACCGTCGCGAGGGGCGTTCCCGGCAGGGGAGAGGGTTTTCGGCCAGGTTTTCGCCGGAAAGCTGTGCCACGCCGGGTGCCGGGCGACGTAGGGAGCTGCTCTACGTCACCGGCGTCCGGACGTCCCGGCGGATGACGGAGTCCCGCCCTTATCGAAAACCGACCAATCACAAAATAGCAAAGTTTCGATAAGTTTTGAAGATTTTTCATCTTTCGGTTGCCAAAAGTCAGCCAACGCTTGTTGTGTTGTTTTTCTTGTTAATTTTCTTCGGGAATCGCTAATGGCAAACGCAAATTCTTAAATTACAAAAAAAAAAAGAAAAAGAAAAGAAACGTGCGCGCTAATGTTTAGGCACAATTATCTCTTTATTTGGTAATTTAAGTTGAATAAATAAGCGATCCGATCCAATCCAATCCTGCCGTTGCGGCCGCCGTCGCTTTGCGGTCTGTTCGGACACCCTGCCGTCGCGTCCCCGCCCCGGCGTGCTCCCGTGACGGTGCCGAGATGGGAGAGGCGCCGGCTGTGTGAATGAGGCCTTAGGCGCCCGTTTCCGGCTTCAGCGGCGTCGCCGTCGCCATCGCCGTCACCGTAGCCGTGGCGACGTTTCAGCACCGTGCCGAAACGTCCTCGCGGGGCCACGTGACGTCACAGTGGTCACGTGAACCCTTTCAGGGGGTCCTTAGGACCCCCCCTCCCCCTCAGGGCCCCACGTCACCCCCTCAGGACCCCCTGAGGGGTCACGTGACCTCCTAAGGTCACGTGACCCCGGTGACGTCACGTGACCCCTATGAGGTCACGCTACCCCCCGTGAGGTCACGAGGGTCACGTATCCTCACGGTTACGCCGACGGCGACGGCGACGCCGATGCCGCTCGGAGCGAGGAGTGGGAGGCAGGATGAGGAGGAGGGACGAGGGGTATACCCTGTTCTCAGTACCCTTCCCTCCTCCTCAAGAGCTGCGCTCTAATTCGGCGTTACAGGGAGTTGTAAACGGCTTTCTCGTTTTCAATAGTTTTTCGATAGTCGATTATCGATAGTACTATCGATAGTTTCTCGATAGTCGTCTATTGAAGTACTATCGAGTTTTTTTTACTAGCGATAGTAAGATTTCTAGCGACTATCGATACTATCGATAGTACTCTCGATAGTTTTTTTGCACAACTAAAGCGAACACATGTGCCGCACCGCCGCCTCGGCTCCCTTTCTCCTCTCTTCGCCCAAACTCCCGTCTTCGTCATCACTGAAAGCTGATACCAAAGGTGTGATGGTAAGTGCTTGAATTAGATGGTGTCCCATTTTGAAAAAAAAAAAAAAAAATCGATAAAAAGAAGAGGGAGCGACGCAAACTACTAGCGTCACAGAACTATCGATAGTAAACCGTCGACAGTACTATCGATAGGTTTACGATAGTCGATTAACAATAATTTTCCGATAGTTGACTATCGATAGTGCTATTTATAGCTTTTCGATAGTCGACTATTGGTAATACTAGCGATAGTGTTTCGATAGTCGACTATCGATAGTCAGATTTCTGGCGACTATCGACACTATCGATAGTACTCTCGATAGTTTTGCACCACTAGGAGGCAGGCGAGAGCGGAAAGCAAGAAGTGTACGCCGGCCTTTAAGTTCACCATCCCTAATAAACAAAAGAAAAAAAGAATTGTGTCCAATAAACATATACGAAAGCTCGTAGGATAATATAAGAACTTATATGCGACTTATACATTATGTATAAGTTCCGGTGTGTTTACTGAACAAATGGCATGAAAAAGTATTATGCCCTTGAATTTCTTAATAATAATGCAGAAACATTGTAATTAATAATCAGAAAGTTCAATATTTGCAGATTCGTTGGACCTACTTCTTAAATATAATACTTCGAGACGTCGGCGTTTCTCTTGACCTCGATGACCATGTGGTTGTCATGCATCCACTCTATCTTAAGAGGCTCTCACGTCTCATTAAAGGTGTGCCCAGGTAAGTGTACCTTCATTGAAATGAATGCTATTTGATGCTCCGCGATCCTTACCGCTTTAGCATGTTGGAAGCGGTGTTTTACGCAGAACCATTACCTTTAGCGAGTGTTTAAGCTAAAGATGTCTATTAAAGTTGTAACAAGACCTAGAGCTATGAAATGAGTCAAATGATTGTCTCAGGGTTTGCTTAATTTGAAAAAAAAAAAAAATGAAAAAAAAAAATCTATAGCCTTCCTTGGAAGGAAAAGTTTGAATGAGTAAATTTGGATTTCTGAGCAGTTATTTGAACTATATTATTATATCTAACACACATTACTTTCCGCTTTTTAAACTCTCCAGCGCACTCTTTAAAAGAAAATAATGAAGTTGTGTTGCGAAACCTATATTCAACTAAAGGTTTCCTGTACAGGTGCAGTTAGAATAAAGTAAAAGAAGCTGCACGGTTAGCTGCATCCAGCTTGATGGGAGGATACGCCATATATGCACCTTTCCAGTGCTTATTCTTATCCAGGCGAAAAGTGTTAATTCATGGGCCGTGGACGCACGAATGCAGCACCTGATATTGCACAGAAAAGAGCTAATGCGCATGCCCAGAACGCGTTCAACAGCCCGGTAGACAAATATGGCAGCAGGCAGAAGCCGATTATCCGAGCGGTTAATCTATACAGATGCGCTCTATCTCCAATCTTGCAACGTTTCGGATTGAAGGCTGTAGTTGCGAACGATCGAAGCGAAGAATTCGCGACATAAACGTGTTCTTGTCTGTTCGTTGGACGGTGCTCGAAAAACACATCTCATCAACTATTATGTACATACGTGCAGGCGTATGCACAAGTTCGAATACAAAATAGCTGCCATCCTCGGCGATGGAATGAGTCCTTATTATAATGCAATTAAATGCAAAGGTGCAAGCGAGCTGGACAAGATTGATGAAAATCCACCTGTAATAGAGAGGTCCCGGGTTCGATACCCGGACCAGGCGGATTTTTTCGGTCGCACACCAGTCACCTAGCTGTGTTTGGAGATTTGTGTTTGTCCTTTGTCCCTCTTGTTCCCCTTCTCCAGGGATTATTTTCATCAATGAGTCCTTCGTTTGCTCATTCCTTCATCTTCGTGCAACAGCTCCACCGTGGCGAATTACATCGGCTGGCGCATCGTGCACTCGATGGGCGTCCACACGCTGGACCGGTTCCGACAATCCCTGTTCCGGTTCAACCGGTTCCGGTACCTGGTGCAGGACATTCCCCAGCTGCCGCGGGAATGCGTTCGCCTTACCAACAAGCTGCTGTACTTCGCCGTCGGGAGGCAGTACTTCGACAGGCACATAACCAAGCCGGCTGACCGGTACAGGAAGGTACGCGCTGTTACCCGCAGGAAAAGTGACCGATAATTACTGCTACAGGTACCATATAGTCAATGGCAGCTCAAGACACGCAGGGCGTGGCTTGGTAGCTCGCGTTTTCTGCCTCGTGATTGGTCCTTGTCAACGCACGTCAACGCATGCTGCTACCTGATTGGCTGCAAAGCGAGATTAAGATGCTCAGGATTCGTCACGCCCTGCGTTTCTTAAGTTACCAGGGGGACTCTATGTGTGGCTACGTTTACATGGGTGTGGCCGTGGCACATCGAATTGAGTTAGCGCATTGAATTCACTTTAACCGCTGTGTTTACATGGATTTGAATCCACCGGGGGCAAAACCACGTGTCGAATGATTACAGCGCACACCACGTGGCCTGTCCCGGGGGAGGGGGGGGGGGGATCAGTGGAGTCCATCGGTGACTGCGCGGCCTGGACGGTGGCACAAAACGGAGAGGGGGAGGGGAGCAAAGTTTGAAGGTCATCTTAGCCTTTCTCCCCTCACTCCCTTTCCCCCTTCCCCCGTTCATCAGGCACCCTTTCGATTCGCTAGAGTTTACATGGAGGTCTCTATTCGGCTTGAAAATCTCAGACCAACCTCTTCAAACAGATCGGGTCGGACTCGATTCGATGCGCTTGGCTAGCGAATCGAGGCATTTACATGAGACGATTCGATACGCTAACTCGATTCGATGCGCTACTGTCGTATCAATGGAAACGGAGCCTATGGTAGGTGACAGGTTAAGAATACAGTGGAAACTCAGCTTCGAGCATGTAATCGTTGTCTTCCACCGTTGTTTTTTCCCTTTTTTTTTCCTTTGCGCGTAATTACGAGGTGCCGAAGGGTTACGAACGTAGAAAAGAGTGTTGTACTGGATTCTTAACCTTTTGCTGGCTATAGCAATACTCGTTTATAAGTGTTGTCTTATTTTGAAAACCGCTTGAACTCTTTTTTTAGTTAGTCTTCTACTTTTTTTAAAATATGGGACGAATATTACGTACAATGCACACCATTAAGTGGCACTAAATGAATAGCCAATAAATGCGACCCTAAGTTTAACTTCGCAAGTTTTGTAAGGGGGGTATGAGGATTATTGTCCTAGAATTTACGAGGTAATCAACACGGAAATCGAAATCAGTGACTATAGGCCAGGAAATGTTATTTGGTACTCGGGAGGAGTTAGAAGAGAAGGAAAAAAATAAAGGATTTATCACTGGCATACAGTTTCTCTGTAAGATACATTTTGTCCGGTATTTAAAGGGACACTGACAGGGTATTTATGCTCGCTGAGGTTTTTAGTTGTACGTGACATATGAGAGCTCAACTACCCAGAACAGAATTTGCGGCTCGAAATTCGGTTTCTTTCCGCCCGAAAACCGCCGATCAAGAACTGGCCGGTTCGAGTCCCGCTCACTCTCTTTTTCGCGGTCACGGGCCGTTTTCTAAGGTATCGATGCGACCACCAAATTTAATCGAAGTCGTGGGTCACTGAAGGCACACACTCAATATTAAAAATAGAAAAAAAATATGAAACCCATTTTTTGTGGCTTCTAAAAAGCTGTAAATACGTTGATTGAAAAAAAAAGTTCCACAGACAACCGGAAGCAGTCTGTGCGTTCGTCGTTTCGCGTATCGTGGGACTCGCGGGGACGGCGATGGCAGCGTACGACGGGCGTGGGACCTCTATTTCGGAACTGTCGTTCGCGGTACCGGCGAATGATGTCTACCGTTAAAAGAGAAATTTGGGACTGATCAAAAGAATTGGTATTCATCCTATACGACACGCCCGGCCACCAAGCCGATTTGCACGAAGACGTCGCCGAGCCGTCGCTCCCTTCTCGTGGCTGAAGACATCGCTCGCGCAAACGTCAAGCACGACGTGTCTACTTCGAGTTCAATATGCACGCGTACGATTTTTTTACCAGGTGCGAATGTCCCCAAAGCGTGGTGCTTCCCGACTTCGACCCGGGAGTGCTTTTGCTAGAGAAAAATCGACAGCAAACTTTCCAACTTACAGTTTACCGGCTGAATTATTACTGAGGAAAGAGATCCACCAGAAAAGTGGTGCCCCAGTAGCTCAGTCGGAAAGGCGTCCGGTTCACACGCGGTAGCACCGGGTTCGATCCCCCGTAAAACTTTCTTTTTTTTTTTTTTTCAAGCATTTTCTGATGTTTACATATATATATATATATATATATATATATATATATATATATATATATATATATATATATATATATATATATATATATATATATATATATATATATATTACAATCATCACTGAAGAAACAAACAAAAAAATAACAAACTAATGTTGTGGACGATACTTCGCTGAATTAAATGGTATGGGATTTCCGTTTTGACACCTGCGAGCTCAATGTAATCACTTTCCACAAAATGCAAGGAGCATATAAATCAGGTAACGTCCGCTTTCCGAGGTGCCCGTATATGTTCTACAGGAATTGCAGCCAGCCGTTGGTCCCGATCTCGTTGATCTTTCGGAAACTCTGTCGCACAATGGCACTTTTTTTTCGGATGCAGGAAATGTGAGCCAGCTGTTCGCGCAACATCTTGGGTGTATTCTTTTCGGAGCCGATCATGGAAATTCACCACGGGCACTCACTACTCATCTCCAACTCCTCAATGTACAAAACAACTCATATTGGAGTACAGAACAACGAGCGGAACAAACATAACTGCAAAAAAATCGCACGGCGAGCAGTTCCCGCACGCCGCATCGCACGCCGCATGTTCTGTCGTCTGCTACCGGAGAGGAGAAAAAAAAAAAAAAAAAGCACGGTCGGGTGTAGCCACGTGACTTCCGCCACTCACTCTCTTCTCTCCACTTCTCCGACCTACGTCGGGTTTCGGTTTCGGTTTCGAGGAGTTGCGTCTTCTGCCTTTATTAAAAAAAATACGCTATTCTGTTGCAAAATATTGATTGGGTAGTCCTCCGACACCATAATGAAGCGCCTGGCAAAAAATAAAAAAATGTTTTGAGGGGGTGTCAGTGTCCCTTTAAAGAAGCTTTCAAACGTTTAGCGACTATATATTTTTTAAAAGAAGAAATGATGCGGGTCAACAAATATTTTTCCATCAACTATCTGTCCCTTTGAAGAATGAAACAGTGTGGAGATAGAAACATCAGCAGAAGTGTATTCAAAATGTCAGAACTTCCCTTAAAACGGTTTGTTTTACCTAGTGCGTGCAGTTTCATATAAACTTTCAGTGAAACTTCCTTTTTTTGTCGAAGGAATTTGCCAGGTTTTCATAATGCCCGTAAAATATTCCCATGGTACTCTCTAGTCTACCCTTTTTTTGTGTGTCCGAAGGTGTACGACCTGGCCGAGGAGGTTCGAGATGCCTTCGCCGTCTTGATCGATCTCAACACCTGGATGGATCCCGAAACCAAAGACAGAGCAAGGCAGAAGGTGATGCGAACCTATCTCCAACATTTTTTGTCGCACCGTTTGGTTGTCATCGCTTGGTTGAATACAACCAAGCTAACTAAAAAAAAAAAAAACAAGAAAAAAAAAAGAAGACAAAAAAAAAAAAAAAACAAGCAAAAAAAAAAACGTAGGTTGTATTGATTTTAGGGCATTTCATATCACCCCACACCCAATGATATTGCTTGCATTCGGCGATAATAAATTTTCAGGGCATATCACAGAAGCCTGAAACGTAAAAAAAAGAAGAAATAAGCCACTCTCTGCATTTCTTAAACTGTCAGTACCTATAATACAAGGTGTTGCCAAAAAAAAATTTACTTTAAAAAATGAAAGCCGTTTATACAACTCCCTGTAACGTCGAATTAGAGCGGAGCTATTGAGGAGGAGGAGGGAAGGATAATGAGGGGGAGGTATACTCCTCCTTCCTCCTCCTCACCTCCTCATCCTGTCTGCTACTCCTCCCTCCGAACGGCTTCGCCGTCGCCTCACGAGGATCACGTGACCTCATGGGGGTCACGTGACCCCCGTGAGGTCACGTGACGATGACGTAATCGCGATGACTTCATCGCCACTGATGACGTCATCGTCATCGTCACTTATAACGTGGTCAGTGACGTCACGCGTCCCATAATGCGCACCGCGCGGTTACGCAGACGGCGACGGCGACGCCACTCAAGCCGGAAACGGGCGCCTAAGAGCTGCGCTCTAAAATGAGCGGTTTATTGCTGAACACTCATTCTCCGCCCAAATGTAGCGATGGCGATCCGAACCAGATGCGAAAGTTTCAGAAGTTACCGGTATATTATTAAAAAGATAAGAGAGTTCCTGAAATCATCAATGGGAAAATGGCGACCGACGGAATTCTCGAATACATGAACCTGAATGGCGTCAGTTACCAAAAAACGGGCGAAAACAGACGCCATTTTCACCATCGAAATTTTCAGAACATCACTTATAAGTTATAGCTCTTGAATGAGATAACAGTTCTTAAACTTTGGTGCCTGGTTCGGAGCAAGAGCGCAACATTTGGGCGAAGAATGAGCGCGCAAAAAAACAAAACAAAACAAAAAACAAAAACAAAAAAAAACAATTTAACTTTTGAGAAAAAAAATTAGCGCAATTTTTTGGGAACACGTTTGGACACGTGTTTGTGCATGCCGGAATAAAGTAGGTATGCGCATATGGGGCCATGGAGTATGCGTTCATTGAAGCTTCGAAGTTTTTATTGTGTCGTTTGAAGACGTGTTATTTGCTTTGCACTTTGCTCTATTCACTGACGGTGCTTCCGGAAATCATTGATCGCCGTTGTTGCTGTGGGGGCCGAGGCGAATTTACATCGCCTTTAAGCCGAGTTGACACTGCTTATACATCATACAAAGGACAGCATGCAAGCAGATTCGTACGCGAGGCACGTCGAGATCCGTGCAGGGGCGTTTTTTTTTCTTTTGGGGGGGGGGGGGGGGGGCGGAAAATTTGTAACGATAATATTCACCATTCTTTCGAGTGCGCCGGGGGGTCCACCCATGTCAAAATGCCCTGCGTAAAAGGGGGGAGAGGGGCGGGGGTCGACTTTGAGTGAAAGGGGGGGGGGGGCGGCCATCCCCGTCGCCCCCCCCCCCCCCCCCTTGGATCCGCCCATGGATCCGTGCTTCGAATGCCGCATGGCAGCGAGTTCAAAGAGGAACAAGCACGCGGCATTCGAACCACGGATATCGCGGTGACTGGTGTCTACAAACTGTCTTTTGTATGATGTATGAGCAGTGTGATTCCGGCTTCAGACTCCAATTTGCCTACCTTCCTGCGAAGACTGAGAAGAGCCAATCGCTGCAACCAACGAAAAGAGTCTGTACGCTGGCACTGAGCATGACGTAAGCACGCTAAACGTCACGCTCAGCGTCACAACGCAGACTGTTTTTAACGTGAAGCGTTCTTTGGCTAGGCGTTCAACATTTCGCTAAGCCGAAAAGTGAAGCCTGGATAAAAGCGCGGCCGCGAGGCACGACATTGATTGGTTGACGGGTGGGAGGGGAAGGGGGAGGTGCTCGACGCTGATTGGTTAACGGTGAGGTCATGTGACTAGGGATGGTGTGAGGAGAAGAGGTAGGCGAGGAGGCGTTGTCAGAGAGGAGGAGTGGGATAGAACAACGCCGCCTAGAAGACAAGGCCGTAGTTGTTGCATCTTTGCGTCACCAGCAAAGGCCAGCGCCGGACAGATTGGAAACGAGTGCTCCGTCAGCGCTCGACTTCTACTCTTCGTCTCATCCTACAATGGACTAAAGGCCGAAGCTACGGGCCGCCAGGTACAATCACGTTCCACGCCAAACAATGACACGCTTAGCATTGGTTAGGCTTGGATGAATCATGCTCCGAATTCAAAAAACGCTGTGTCATTTTTATAGCTTCGATACTGCAAAGAGCCAGTACGTCGTGGCTTTTTTTTTTTTTCAATGTAAAAGTGCTGAGTCACTCATTGCTCGATCCGAACCACTGTTCGCCCATTCCCATCAGCGGTCCGAGACGCGGGCACCAATTCGTGCGTCGAAGCGAAATAGCACGCAACGTCTAAGTGGCTCGTCATTGGATCTGACGGTTCGTAGCTTCTGCCTTTAGTCCATCGTAGGGTGAGACGAAGTATAGTCAAGCTTAAGCCGAACGTTGACGCAATCGTTGTGTCCAATCTGTGCCCGGCGTTGGCCTTCACTGATGACGTCATCTTTATCAGCACTACGGCTTTGTTATTCAGGAGATGTTGTTTAAGAGGTTCTGCAAGATCATCAGGTTTATCATTTCAAGTGTACACACATGCCACGTGCTAAATTTTGTAATGATAAGTGACGTGAACGTATACGCGTCTGGCTGAAAAGGCTAGACGTGCTGCTAAACGTTTGTATAAACGTTTGTGAGGCTAGGAAGCTAGGACGTTTCGCGTATGCAACACAATTGCCTAGCAATTGGCCATATGTTTCCTTTTTTTTTAAATTTCCACGCACATTTGAAGCCTCTCCATTTACCGAGCTCTGTCCGTGGATAGCAGCGATTGGCTCTCGATCCTAAGTGTTGTGCGGAGAAGTAGCCACACCAGATTCTTTAGAGTGAGTACGCGTAGGCAGTTAGTTCATCGTCATCAGGGATTGTATTTGATAACTATGACCTTATAAGATACCACGAAAGGAAACCAAAACCGAAACGGTGACCGCAAATGAATTTGCGTGCGTTCTCGAAGGTCACCGCACATTTGGTTAGAAAATGTGCTCCCAGTAGTTATACAGATGAAGGGAAAGGAAACATAAATGCCGAGCGCTAATGTGTAATGCCTTCCCTTATAAAAAATATTCCTTTTTTTATACCAGTTTGCTCCTTACGCTTTGTGGGCTGAAGATTTAACCCAGGCACGACGCATCTGGCGATAGGCGTTACGTTTAGCTTTCTGCGCCTCGACAGTGATCTTAGCTCAACATACGCATGCGGTATAAAACAAATCCGCTCAAATAAAAAAAAAAAAAAAAAAAAACTGCGCGTAGCGCGATTGATTTTCTTCTTCTTATGTTTAGTTAAAATAGTAAAAAAAATTGTTAAAACTATGAAAAAGTTGATATGTCTACTACTGAGGTTTTCAGGGTTCCTTATGAATATTCGTTAATTTCTTGCATGCCCCCTTCATTGTTTTGTAGCTCCACTACCTCCAGCTGAACATTGGCTATCCCCCATGGATCAGAAGCGACCGAGACCTGGACGAGTACTACAAGGACGTACGTCACGGACGCGTCATTTCCCGCCAATTCACTTCTTTGAACGCAAGAAACGCCCAACAGATTTCTCGATCACTTTTGGTTTTCAGCTACCAGACCTGAGGAAGGAGGAGTTCTTTGTGAGCCTCTTGCGAACTCTCCGGGTCTACAGTCGCATTCAGTTCTCCAGGCTGAGGAAGTTCAAGAGGTCGCTCGACTTCGGGTGCGTTGTGGAATGTTCTTTCTTGGCTGCTCATGTGCGCTGTGTTTACGTTGTAATACGGCCCACGCCATACTTCTCAAAATCGCGCAGTTTGTTTCCGGCGTGAGGTGTTGTGAGTGGTTGGTACTCCAACAGATTACTGACGGGTGTTTCTCCTCAGATGGTACCCGAGCACGGTGGATGGCTCCATGTATTACAGCCACCTGGGAAACTACTTGCGTGAGTTTGGTCATAAAGCTTTGAGATCGTTGTTTACGCTGCACTCTGTTCAATTGACAGAACGTGGAAAGTTATTAAAACTAAATAGCAGGCTTTGTTTTTTATGTTTTTAACAAATAAAATAGTTTTAATTAAAAAAGGTAGTATTCCGTGGCAGAAAGTACGTCCCAACTCTATAAATACAAATAAAATTCAGGAATCATTAGATGCCTCAGCTTCTATTCCAGTCCTCATCACCAGTCTGCGAACATCTTGTTTTGAATGAAACGAGCCTCCTCTCAGTTTTGTAAAATGTACCGTCTGTTTTTCAGTTTTACCCGTGGATTACCTGCAGTTCCCATTTTTTCTGCTTGAAATGCCCCCGTAAGTTTGTTGGATACATTTTTTTTTTGTGGTTGTATCGTTTCGTAAGCCTGTTTTAGTTTTTTTTTTTTTATCTGAAAATGGTGTGTGCATGTAGAGTCACGTATTCATTGTAGTCTTGATTGTAATTTTATTTTAACATAAGACCTCAAAGTGCCGCATGCAATTTATTACTTATAAACGAAAAGTATTAACGAATGACCTGAATTTGTTTGCTGTATCAGCAACTGAGTCAAAACAATTTCTGCGCTTTATAGGCGTTTGCACGTTCAGTTTACCTATTTACCTCCTCCACGTACTTGATAATGATGGGAAAGGAATGTAAAACGTATTAATCTACCTGTCCTGGACGTGTAAATACTCGAGACAATGTTAAACTACATTCAGTCGCTTGATTACCCTCCTTTTTTTTTAGACCCATCAACTTCGGAGCGATTGGCTCTATCCTCGGCGAAGAACTCACGCATGGCTTCGGAGAACACGGTTGGTAACTCCGCCACATGATGAACATAAATATTCATTGTCCGTTTTAAAATTGAAAATTATTGTGGACGACAGTTTAAGAAAAGGCGTAATGCAATCTCATTAGCTCAGAAGCAATAACAAGAAGCTCTGAAACTCGTCACGCTCTGAATTGCTTCAGCTGTCTGTGACTATGGAGGTTTTGGTACTGCGACTGCATATTACAGGTTTGCCGTAACACACCTGAAAGCATTTGAGCATTTTTTCCCTAAAGGCTCGTGCACACAATTGCGACTCCTTAGATCCGTGTGCCTTAAAGGCCCGTCCGCACACTTGCGACCGACTTTGAGGCAACCTGTTTTTAAGCCTTCTGGGACTTGGTTCACACCCCTGCGACCGACTACGACTGATTCCGACGCAACCAGCTTTTAAGCCGCTTACGACCGCCATCGCTGCTGCTGCGCATGCCTGTCGTAAGCAGTCCCAAGAGGCTTAAAGACAGGTTGCGTCGGTGTCGGTCGCAAGTGTCTGAACCAGCCTTTAAAGACTATGCGGGGAGCAAGTCGTCTGCTTCTTCCGCAGGGGTTGCGGTGACGACAGAATGACGCCGAGTTCCGATCGGCTTGGATTGAAAGGATAGTGGGTAGACCTCAATGCTAGATGCTTTAAAATTTCCATCCACTATTTTTTTTTTCAATCAGCCAATAAGAGCTTGGCATTCTGACATCGTGGCAACCCCAGTGAAAGAAGCAGACGAACTTGCGCTCCGCATTAACATCTCTGACGACGAGAGAATACACTGGCGCCGTCTATCGAGTAGCCGTGGAACACTTTCAGTGTCTGCACGTTTACTAGTTTTTCATGCGTCATTCTTTCATTCTTGGCTTGAAATAACTTTTGAGAATGTTATAAACGGCCATCTCTCATAGGTATAGTACGTACATTTGATCTCGCAAGTACAGGAAGACCTACGTTCTAGCGGAAATTCCAGGGTCAACTCATAGATGGAGCCAGCGTGGTAGTGTTTTCTTCGTGGTTTCTCGTCCTAAGGGATTTAAGAGGTCTTAAGGCACTAAGTCTTAAGAAAACGTGAGTGTGTGAACGAACCTTAAGATTTGTTGCTATTTTTACTTGTGTTGGTGTACCTGAAAATTCGAACAAGAGATTCACCCTCTGCTCAAAAGAATTGATCGGTGAACTCCCGCATAGCCTCCTATGGACCTTTGCACAAATAGCTTTCTGGCCGCCGCCATTTTTCGACTCGAGCCTATCAGCCAGAAATTTCTGCCACATGCCTGAGCAGTGAAAAGCCGGTCAGCGGGGCTCCCCACCTGAATTGTGAATCCGAAGTTTGTCGGCTTTTCTTGAAACCTTTTAATTTATGAGCCTGTTCAGGATGCTTACCCTTTCCGTCTTATCTTCCACTGTGAGAACCAGGGAATACCATAACTCGCAGTCTACTCGGCCTTCGCAAGAAACGAACGAAGAGAGCGAACGTCAAGCAGCCCGCGACGTGGGCCGTTCGACGTTCTTGAAGAATTATTTCCGTGTTGATTATCCCGAAAAACCTCCCGGGCTATGTTCCCGGTCTTCGCAAGAAATAACTGATAAAGTCGGGTCCGGAGTATGGGGGTGGAATAGAAACGTTTGTTTATTTACTTTGGTGCTGTGCAAAAAAGCAGCTCTCTTCAAAACTCGCCCCAAAACTAGCCGGATTCCGTCTGATTGTCGTGAAGTGACTATCGTCGACACTGTATATTTGATATGTTGTGTTTTTGAGACCTTTCTGAAATCCTGCTCGGACAACGCGGCACCGTGGGGTACGTACAGTATATGTCGTTCGATTAATGAGAACTCGTTGAATTTCATGTTGTGAGTGGGGAATACCCGCGCAGTTCGGCTATGCTGTGCAGTTAAATATTTTCGACAGATATGACCTTTGTAGATTGAGACGCTGAGTGTATGGTGCCGTAAAAAGATCAACATAAATTGAAACAGACATTCCAGTTTCATTTGTTCTGTCGCGCATGGGCCCATTAGAAATAGATTGTTTGTTTTCGTTCCCAAAAATAGAACAACGCTTTCTTCAGAACTTCGAGAAATTCTATTCGCCATAGAACACACACACACACACACACACACACACACACACACACACACACACACACACACACACACACGCACACGCACACGCACACGCACACGCACGCACGCACGCACGCACGCACACACACACACACACACACACACACACACACACACACACACACACACACACACACACGCGCGCGCGCGCGCGCGCGCGCGCGCGCGCGCACACGCACACGCACGCACGCACGCACGCACGCACACACGCGGGCACACACGCGCGCACACACACACATATAAAATTAAAAAGAAACCGGTAATTTAGTCGCCACCAGTGTCCGGAATCGCGCATATACGCAGGCTGCCACAGCCCATTGACGAGAAAACCCACAGCCCAGCGCAGTCGGGCAACACTGATGTACACTCTCACAACCAGAGACGCACGCTGTAAATCGCTTCGTTTGAGACTGCCGCTGAAAAGTTCTACGGGGAAAACCTGCGAATGCGACGCCAGAACCGACCGCCAATCACTGGCAGAGACTAAGTGACGGAACATGACAGCAGAAATCGAAGTTCACTTTCCCTAGACCTTTGCAAAAAGAGCGCTCTGGCCGCCGCCATTTTGCGAATCGAGCGACCCCTATCAACCAGAAATTTCTGGCACCCGCCTGAGCTGTGGAAACCCGGTCAGCGTGACTCCCCACCTGCATTTTGCTTTCGGAGTTCGCCGGCTATTCTTGGAAGTTTTTACTTATACATAATGACATATACACAGTCATTATGTATAACTAAAACCAACTAGCCCAACTTTCTACTTTATTAAAGTTTTTACTTCATTCGCCTGTTTAGGATGCTTACCTTTTGTATGTTATCTTCTACTTTGAAAACCAGAGAGTACCAGGGCTCGTAGCCTGCTCGGCCTTCACAGGAAACGAACGAAGAGAGCGAACGTCAAGCAGCCCACGACGCAGGCAGTTCGACGTTCTTGGAGGATTATTTCCGTTGAGATAATCTCCAAAAAGCCTTCCCGGCTGTGTTCCGAGTCTTCGCAAAAACTAGGAATAAGCACGTTCGTTCATTTGCTTTGAAGCTGTGCAAAAAAAGAGCTCCCGTCTACATGTTTCCCAAAACACGCCGGATTCCGTCCGATCGTCGTGAAGTGACTATCGTCGACACTGTATATTGGATATGCTGTGTTATTTGAGACCTTTCTCAATTCCTGTTCGGATAAACGCGCCACCGTGGGGTACGTACAATATATTTTTTGTTCGATTGATGAGACTCGTTGCATTTTATGTTGTGGGCGGGGAATATCCATACAGAACGGATATCCTGTGTGGTCAAATATTTTGACCTTTATAGATTGACACGGCTGAGTGTGCGGTGCCGTAAAACAGTGAACATAAAATGAAACAAACATTCCAGTTGCATTTGTTCTGTCGCGGACGGACTCACCAAAACAGCTTTCATTTCTTTGTTTTTGTTTCCAAAAATAGAGCACTGCTTTCTTAAAGACTTCTATAAATTATGTTCGCCACAGAACACAATATAAAAAAGAAAACACAGCAATTCAGCCGCCAGCAGCGTCTGGAATTGCGCCTACGCAGGCTGCCACAGCCCACTGTCGAGAAACTCCACAGCTCAGCGCAGTCGGGCAACACTGACGTACACTCTCAAAACCAGGGACACGCGCTGTAAATCGCTTCGTTCGAGACTGCCACTGGAAAGGTCTATAGGGAGCTATATGACTCTTTTGGGGTCCCGCTTGATCTCTCCTAGGAGCCATGTATGACGACCGAGGGAAGTTGGTGGAGTGGTGGACCCGCTCGACGCACCGAAAGTACGTCACGGGTGCCCGCTGCATCTCGGAGCAATACGACCTGTACAACAACCCGGTGACGGGAAGGAAGGTGAGGCCGTGTTCTCAGCCGCTTTGTAGTTTAGTGCAGGACGTTCATTGAAACAGAGCTTTATTGGAAGGGTCTTTACAATTGAATAAACGCGGACTACACGCCTTTTACGCGAGGGCGCAACCATCTTGAATATCGCCACTTCTGGTATGCGTTGAAACATCGTTTGGACTCCACTACGCTCGGAGGTGTTCACGAAAAATGCGTGATTGTCGCACATTCTTGTTTTGCCTTACCTATATTTTCTCGCATATTTCAGGCTGAAATGTCTTATCATTTTGTTTCGTCCCGTACACCAGATTTGGAACCCACGTGACTCAAAAAAAAAAAGGAAAAAAAAAAGTCTGTTGTACAAAAGAGGCAGGGAAAGCACTGTTCTAATTCGGAAAGTGCTAGTGATAAACGAAACGGAGAACTGTCTCATAACCTCCTCTATACTCGCAGAGCCTGGCAGTTCGACGACGAAGCCATAGAGTGCACGGTCGCAGATTTGGAGCGCGAGGACCTGGTAGCACAGAGCATTTCTCGGGGAACCTGTACGTCAACGGACAGATTTTGCAGTGGCGAGGAACCGAAACATGGTTTTCAAACCCGACGAAAAAAGAAGCTGTAGCACGAAGTACGCGAGCAGCACGAGCGGACATTCCATCGATCGAGAGACGTGTTTCGGCGTCTCGCCGCAGCGGGGCGCCTGTCACGTGGCCCTCCTCTCATCCGTTGTCTGCCGCCCTTTACTTTTCAATTTCGGCGGCCGCTTTTCGTGGCGATCTGCGAGGCTTTGTCAGTATAGGGAGTATTCACTGGCGGCCATATCGGTGTGCGCTGCTGCTGAGCGCGTGCTGACGGCGAGCTTCCGCAGTCCTTTTGGAGCGTGCATTTAGCACCATCAAGGTTGCCGGTCTTAGCAGGCTATTAATGTGAGCTCGTTCTGAGCATGCGCTCTAAACATCGCCCTCAAATATGGCGTCCAGTAAACACCTCCTATAGAGGAGGCTATGACTGTCCTCATCTTTTTTTCTTGAATGGTATGCTGACTACAGTCGGTGACAGGTTAACAGCGCAGTAGATTTTCTGCTCCAGGCGCGAGTTTTCTGTCCTTGATATCAATTTGTCGCAGGCGCCTCCACAGCAAAACAGAGGGCATCTAGCGGGAAAACAGTGAACTGGCCAGAACAGGTCCCTTCGCAATTTTGTGTTCATCTTTTGTGGCTTCCGGGATTGCACGTATTCGGCGGCTGGCGCGACAGCCGCGGAGGTAAAGCTACGGAAGTTGCGTTGGTTGTGTCCAACGCAACGAAAACGGCAGCAATAACAAGACAGTTGGCAAAACCATGACCGATAATAACCTAAAGAATTGGTTCTCACTTGTGTAGGTCTAACACATGTCCCGGTGACTCTGTCGTCGTTACTGCCGTATCAGCGTGTTGCCTAGGTCGCTCGGAACGCAAGCTACGCAACCGCGTAAATCACGCACTTAGTTTTATCAACATTCATCAGCACGGCCGAAGCACAGTAGGTAATCCTTTCATCGGGGCAAACCATATTTTAAAGCCAACATGCTTGCCTGTTGGAACCCGAGCGTTAAACGTTGATCTGGCACAGGCATAGCACGACCTGTTTTCTACCACCATATTTGCCCGAGAGGGGCACCTCCTATAGGTCCTTGAAGTCGGGAATACCATTTCCTGTGGACACCATGCCCAGTGTTGCATCTGCACACTTTAATATTTTTCGTAATATATATATATATATATATATATATATATATATATATATATATATATATATATATATATATATAGATGCAAGGTACGGTAGAAAACAAACCAGGATGATTTTATTCGACGTTTCGACCTGAGGCAGGTCTTCGTCATTGCAGGTCTTCGTCATTCCTGACGAAGACCTGCCTCAGGTCGAAACGTCGAGTAAAATCCTCCCGGTTTGTTTTCTACCGTCACCTTGCATCTGTTATCTACGCCTTCGGCCTCCAAGCCAACATGCCTCTCTCTCTCTCTCTCTATATATATATATATATATATGTATATTCGTAAAACAAAATATGTTTGGATGTTATTTGTTGGGCTCGATTTTTCACTGGTTGGTTTCCTGAGTGCTCGGCGGAAACATGGACGCGCGTTTGGATGAAAACTCGGCTGTGTATTTCGTTTGTCATTTGTCGCGTGCGATGCTCTCATTGGTCCGAAGCGCTGACGTGAGCACGCGTCAACCTCTCCTTTTCCCCCCGCGCTGACAGACTGACAGACACCGCCGGGTTTTCGTGAAAACGAGACCTTTCGTTTTCGTCAGTCACGCGCACAGCTGGCGCGGAGCATGACACCTCCTAGATAACGAAGCCGTAGTGAGGTGATTTCAGATAAGATCGACCAAAGGGTGGCTGGTCGACATTTTTAAATCAACTGATGTTTTTATATGACATTGTCTAGTGTCTGGTATAAACGAATCCACACTTAGTTTTGACCAGAAAAAAAATTTGGAGACAAGAAAAATCGTAAGGCAGGGAGAGGTGGACAGTTGCAATAACGCGCACTGATGGAGGGGGCAAGTTTGAAAGTGAATAATTAAAACAATAAAATTAGGAGAATTTTAAAACTTTTTACAAACAAACTATGGGTACAACTTGCTTGTAATATAAAGTAATAATATTTATTAAAAATTTATTTGGTTTTCTAAAAATTGCCAAACATGCCTGCTCGAACGACAAATGGCAAACTTTGGAAATCTGTATCTCATGAAATAATTTAATCATTATTACATAACTTGCAGACATTATTTTACTAATATGTGGCTATTATTGAAAAAATAAATAAGGTATCTGAGTGACACAATAGTTACAATATATTTAGGCAAACATGGGAAAAAAATCAAACAAAGAAGAATTCCAATGCGAATAAAAAAAAAACACCACCTTCGATTTTTTTTAAATTTGGGTACCCTGTTATACTCTATTTCGGCATTCATTTCTATTAAAAACATGTTGCATCATTGCACTGTGAAAGAAGAAACAACTCCCCAAAGTAGGGTCCTTTTTCAAAGCCTACACTTAGCAGTGTCCTATACAAGAAGTGACTCTGAGTTCCAGTTTCATGAAACTTGCACAAATCTTTTATATACATTTATTCAGATGAGGTCATTGATAAAAAGAGCGATCGGTCACACAGTAAAAGGGAGGAGAAACTATATACAGCATTTTACATAAGCGTACAAAGTGGTATCATATTAGAGACTAATGATTTGAGAAAAGATGATGCAGTGTGAAGTTGTACCTTCCGGTATATTTTACATCTAGAGTAAAATAAATAACTTTACTTCCACACACAAAAACAAAGATATAATAGTAAGATATTTAGGTTGACTTTGTATTTACGATTACAAACAATTTCAGGTGACGGATGCCATAGTGCCTACCTGGAGCAGCTTCGATGCTCTCGGTGTATGAATGAATCGTGGCAAGCCGATATATTTTATCCTGCTCGAGGATAACATTTTGGGATTTTTTTTATAGTGATCAGATAAAAATTATTAGTAACCACCAACAAAAACAGTAGGTTAAATACCCCGTGAAGAAAAATGTGATAAATAAGATGTCCCTGCATTCAAAATGAGCAGTCCTTGGGAAATCAAATTCGGCACTTTACGCTAAGGTTTTCCTCGCTGTACCCATTTAATAAAGTTGCTTCCAAGCAGATCCGACTGTCCGTGCTACATATACGTCACAGGTCCCTTCTGTTGATGACTTGCTGAGCCGCCACGCGTGCCAAGACTGAATGCCAGGGAAGGCGCGCACCGTCAGCCACTCTTCCTTTTTTTGTTCACGATACCGAACAACCTCATTTTCGTCCAGATATACAAGATGCACGCCTTTCAGTTTCTTTGATAGAACGCTTACCATTGTCCTGGCCGTCTGAATTGCGCTCACTGAACCTTTTCTCAGGTTGTTCAGCGTGGCCTGGTGCTTCACGAGTCCGCACTCCGTCACATGCATTTTTCCCATGTCCAGATGCAGAAAATAACCACTGGGCTTGTGGGCAATCGTCCTTTGCAAATTGGTGAAGCTGGTAGCGATTCTTGAAATGACTGGCGGCGCCGTCACTTACGTACGTCACGTACGAGTATACCGCAACCTTGTCTTCAACCCACTCCTTCACTTTTTCTAGAGCCAAACAAGCGTGAGCGGCGTCGTGACACAGGTCCTCACTGATGATGGCAAAGCTGTTTGTAGATTTTCTTGTCGTCACTACACATGTAAATATCGAAACTTGTTTTTTTTTCCAGTGATATGCTTGCACTTCGTCAGGAAGCACGATGGTCCAGTTTTCAGCAAAGTCAAAATGAAAGACAATGCTCCCGCGTTGCATGCACTGTTTTTCATCGTAGATCGCTTTACCTTGCGTTTGCCGGATATGGTTGTGAAGTCACCAACTTCCAACCGTCACTTGGATGACTTTTAGGAAAGTCTCAGGTTCCAAAGTTTTTTTCACAAGGTCGCCGGACTCCCATGTTGCAAGCACAATCTCTTCATCCTCCGGGATATCAAGTTCCTGGAGTGTAAGAAACTGGCCTTTTGGGCAGTGATCACAGTCTCCTTGAAGGCACAGTTCTGTTGCTGGGTCGCACAGAAATGCCGAGTTCATTTCACCAGTGTTGAATGTTGAGCCTGTAACGTTCTCTAGAGCGGCAATACAAAGATAATAATTGGCGCAGCGCACACAAACGCACACTTCCTGGTGTGGAATACATTGGACCCATCTAGGGCGCAACGAATAAAATTTCGATAGCCCAACGCCGGAATCGGGATGCTTGTCTTTGTATATACGGAAGGCCTCTCGTATTGAGCGTGTCATGAAGCGCTTTGGCACGAACGTTTTCTCTCCGTTGAGCATGACAGAGATGACGTCCTTCTGGTTGGGACTTCGGCGCGAACATTGTAGCTCGTCTTTCGTGAAGTACTCTAGGGCAGCAGACAGGTTCTCAGGGCTCAC